GCCAGTATCATTATCTACCGCACACACCAGTATCCCCCTGTCACTGCATCCTCCATCTCGCTCCTCCACGCTGCGACACAGTGGATCGCTTATCTGGCCTCGATCAACCGGCCCAGTCGGTCGCTAAACTGCACTGCGATAAACCCCGATGCAGTTTTATAAGGGTAATGGCAATAATAAAAATGTCCCGGGGGCTCTGACGTCTCGATGTTTCAGAATAGAACAAAAATGTTTGGGCGTGAATGTTGCGGAGGAATTGAGAGTGATTATGTCTTTTGTGTTTTCAATAGATGAGTGAATTTGCAGATATTGTGGTGGCGGCATAGGAGAGACGATTAGAATGAATTTATGTGAATTTATGCGCAGATGATTCTAAGGATGATTTTCCGACCAGGGGAGACTTCTAGACCCCACATGCGCCGGTTCCAGATTGTTTTTTTTTGTTTCAAATTGTATTAAAAAAATCTTGACGCAAAATAAAGGGAAATACACGTCTTCACGTCAAAAATAAAATAACGCCTCTTTATTGGTGATCTTGCTAGTTTAAAAAAAACCTCGCAAGACCCTAAAAAACAACAAAATACAAACAAGAAAAATCAAAAATCACGATAACAAATTGAAGAAAAACTCTCTAATTCTGTTGCAATATACCAAAGTCGGGTAATCTGACGTGGCCTTTGATAAAATTTCTTAAACAAAGCGCTGTTTTTCTAAAAAATTCCTTCAAACGTGTTTTCCACTCCAAAAATCATCCTCAAAAGAACTACCAATTGAAAACGAATAAATTAAAGTACCTCAGCACTCGCCCGAGCCCAAAAATATGTATGAGACAGAATCCACAAAGCAAACAGGTGTCACGCGCGCCTTGAGAAGTAGTACAACGAACTATAGTTCAAGTCTGCTATCTCGCAAATGGATTAACGGTTCTCCCCAGTATTCACAGATGGACGAACGCTACAACCATTGACGATCACATCATCGACGAGATAAGAATGGATCAAAGCTTCAGCAAAATAACCGGTTCAACAAAAAAAAACGTCACGAATTACTGCTAGGAGTGCATGAGGCAGCCACGTGGTCAAATATTTCGTTCCCATCGTCTCAGTCGTCAGTCTCATCACAACAGAAGAAATCGTTCTTTATTGTGAGTGAGTTAAATGGGTTTTGTGACGAGATGAATTGATTGGAATGACAATAGCAACTCCACCAAGATTCCGTGTCTTTTACTTCATATTTCATCGGCACAAACTGCACTGAATTAAATCAACTAGTGGAAATTGCTCACAGGAAGTGAAATCAAACGTATTTTCCACAATTCCCAATAATTCGTTTATTTGAGAAATAAAATAAAATTGTGGTGCATACGGAACTTGTCGTGTTATGAACGTGAATGAATAAATGAATGATTGGAAACCGACTATTTGCATTTGCCTCGAAAAACCATAATAAACCACCAGTAATGACTAACTCTTGTGGAAGTCTACTGTGCAGATGAAAAACTAACCGAGAGTGAATCACTTCCGCTTCGCTAACACATGTGGACCTCAACGTGTTACGAATTATCGTGACTCTTGCACTCGAGATTTATCGACAAAAATTTTTCGAAAAAATGGGGAGATTATGGCACACGGAAATAAGTCATCTCTGGGCATTTAAATTGGATGTTTTTTTTTTCATGCAGAATGGAATAATGTAGTAGTCAAGCAAGCTGGAAACACTTGAACATTTCATTCCTCGCATTTGGGGAATCTATTTGAGGAATCATCTTAAGGATATCGAAGTATCTTTTACAGTTTGGCACAGATCACACTATCGATTCAACCATTTTCATTCATAAAATTTGTCAATTAAATTGCGCCAGAAACATTTGGAGAAAATCATGAATATTCAGACTCATTCAAATTACATTTTGCACAGAATTTTTTTTTAGCCATTCGTTGTTTATAAATAAATAATTAAAATTGTTTAAGGTTTTAGGAACCTAATTTTTTTAGACATGAAATGGATTTCTAGTAAAATTATGAATATGAATAAATTCGTTACGATTTCGGAGAAATAATTGTCTGGTGGAAAGTGGATTGTTTATAATTTATTTATAGAAAATGCTCGTAATTTCCAGTTTTTCAATTATTTCGCCAACCTTCCTCCAAAAGTAAACTTTCTAATTTTTTTTCAGATCTTGAAAATGTTTTTTAGAGGTTCAATATCGAGATTCAAATTCAAACCTGCAAAGTTTAAATAATAAAACCATTGCTAAATGTCCGGAATGGTTGAATGATGTAGAATTCAAATGAAAGCTCTGATGTTCGACTACAAAGATAGAAAAGCATTTCACTGAAGAAATAATTAATAATGCGTCTGATAAAATCACTCATCATCGGGAAGATTTCGTATTTAATGAAAAAAATAACATTTGGTGAAATTGAAGTGATTTAGAACGATTTATGAACATTTCAAAACCTGCTGACCATACGACACAATTGCAACGAATCTGATTTCATTTTGAATAGAAAATTTTTCGGCCGTGACTATTCGCACCATTGCGTGAATCACTCCCGTACACTCCATACACTCCACGCATGCGGGAAGTTTGTGTGTTTCATAATTTAATAATTTTCCTATTTATTTTACAGAAAGAATAAAAAAATCAATTGTCTATAATTTTTTCAGTAAAATATTTTCTCAATCAACTCCAATTGTGAGCGAATAAAATAGCTTTTTCCATGGCAAATGAATTACGCTAATGATTTTTTCTACTCCTATTGATTTGATTGATTTCAATGAATTTGATTGTGAATTCTGAATGACTCGCACCTACATTTTTCCACATCACTGTTTTTTCGTACAATTAGCATGCGACAAAGCAAGGCCGGCGAAGAATGAATATTTCTACATTGACGCGTGACGCACTCCCGGAGAGAGAGGAATCGACTTGTCGATATTTACCGTTTTGCTGTGTTAGTTAATTTTCATGGTTTTTTTATTTTCCTCCTCCTTTATTCTAGTGCTCTTTGCTCAGCGGGTTGGAGTGAATGCACGCTGCGGCTCGCGAGGCTTGAAATTTCTCGTTACTGCTAGAAGCTCGTGGAATGCCAGAATTCAAATAACGCGTTAGGTAACACTCGACTGGAGGCAAAATTTAATTGATTATGGTGTTCAGGGTATTTTAGTTGTTATCGTTTTAGTCGGATTGAATTTTTTCTCTTCATTTGATTGTTATGAACTACGTAAGAACTTTGGGGAATTGATTGCACGATTGATTGAATTATTCAATCATTTTTTATGGGATTTTCCGAGGAAGGAGGTGAGGGGCAACTCGCCTTCGGGTCTTCCTGCAACCACATATTCGCCAGAAAAATTTTCTTTGCCCCAGTGCCGAAAAATACTATTGACAGCGATGCTGCGTTCAGCGACAGTGTTGTAACCATGGAGGTTTTAAACGGATCGTTCACATCCACTTGATAGCTTCCTGCACTGTGCCTCTCCAATGAATTAGCTCAGCACGAGGGGATAAAACATTGAAACTCTCTCAATTTTCAGTCAGATAAACAATCTGATCCAAATGGAATAGTGAAATGATTTGCATTGTAATTTTCACTAGCCCTCATTTTTACCTTGACACCACAACGGGCTGTCAAGGAAAAATTGTCACAAGGCCTGTCGAGGTACTTTTCATTTCTCGATATCTTCTCTGTTGACAAACAGAGATCTTGTGATAGTCAGTCAATGGCAGTAGTTCCACTTTGCCCCACTTTACCCTACGTTTTTTCCTCCGTCAATATTTTGGCTATTGAATTATCTTGATAATTTCCTCACTTCTGATTTCGACCAATCAGAGTACAGTATTCGGGGTCACGTGATTCCTTCACATCAGTTTTCTTTTGATAATTGATCGCGCGTGAATTATCAAACTGATAATTTGACAGTGGCCTATCGAGTGTTTTCCTTGCTTCAGACAGATATTCCGCACATATTAGTGAAAAGTGGCACGTAACTCCGAACACTGTACTCTGTTGGGCCAAAGGCAGAATACAGGAAATTATCGTAAAAGTGGAAACTCAAATGAGGCTAGAATAAGAGACTAAGTCCAAACATGATTGTTGAACTGAACCAAAAATGATTGACAGTGTGATCTAATCATGTTGTAATAATACGCTTGCCCTCTCACAAATGACCGCACCGAAAATCACTAATTTCATTGTAACTTAGGGTGGCCAGGCCAATTGCTGGACGGTTAAAGGAAATTGGAGTTTCGTGGTAGGATCTAGAATAAAAGAATCACCTAAATGGCGATATGATCGCTTCCATACCTTCAAAAATGTTTTAATTAGCAAAAAAAAATTGTTTAAAGTAAAAGTAACAAAACAAAAAATAATTAAATTGGGAAATAGTTGAATGTAGCCGAAACCCCCAATTTCTGGATGACTGGGTGATATTTTTTTTAATTTATTAAATGTTGATCAATAGAAGAAAATAATTCACATGATTATACACAAAGGATATTATGGAGGGGTGAAATAATTAATGCAATTTTCATTTTATTTGTGAACTATTCAATGCAAGTTGAAATCGTCCAGAAACTAACCCCCGTCCAGAAATTGACCTGTTTACCCTATATTCGTGTCATCCTCGAATCAAAAGAATCCTAACGGACCAGCAGACCTACATTGCGCCCCTCGCTCCACTTATAAATGTCACTACACCTTCTTAACTCGTAATTTTCAAAATAATTTATCCTAAATATTTTCATTGAAACCATGAACTCAAAGTGAATGAAAATAAACTCAGTTTTCTAAAAACATCGTTAAAATATGACTGCAGTTGTAATCCCCCAGTAAATCGGATTGCGCAGGTAACCGCGGGATTTACTGCGCTGCATCGACCTCGCGAAACCTGTTCCACTGATGTTCTTTTCAAGAGAACGGACAGTTCACAGACGCCTCACGCTCCGCTGATCCCGTTAAACCTCGGGGACAATTAGAAATATCAAAAATACTCACTCCTCTGTTGTCCACAGTGTTGATACCTCTCTGCTAATCCAATGGTGCACTGTCACTCATTCGTCGGAGCCATTCGCACTTTTAGGCCGTTTGAAAAGTCTTTTGTAGGGGCGGGAGTATTTTATTGTTCTTATTTTAACGCGATGGAACGGAGTAAACGCGCGGAGTACTGGGAGACGCGTACGCGACAGCGTCTTTCACTCCACTGAGTACAAAAACACTGACCTGCGGGTTCGTAGAAAGTTTTTGAACCGCAGGGGGCGCCACTGCACGGCGGAAGGGTGATTTGAATTTGTTTACTCGATTGATAACGCGAATTCCTGAAGAAGAAAGCAAACAGGAGGGAATAATGACGAATCTGTTGTTTTGTGAAGAAAGATATAACCGAGATAATTTTTATTGACAATACGTATGACAAAATGTGATGGGGAAAACGAGTCCTGTTTGGGCCAATAAATTTCAGTAGCGAAGTGGTAAAACGATATAAGTCAATTATAAAAAGTCAAAGTCAATTAGAATAGTCGTCTTAGCCCGGATTAAATGATAAAAACATTAATTTAATTTTTTTAATTAAATTATTTTCGTCAGATCACTGCAATATCAACTGAGCACGCGTTCTCCGTATGTCATTTCTGAGAATGGAATCTCCGAACGGAAAAATATTAACCTTGACTCTCACCGTGTCAAACAGCTACGATCCAAAGCAGCAATTTGCATTCTGCATTATTCATTAAAAATGATCTTCTTCACGAATCTGCAGTGATGCTGAGGCCTTCCACAATGCTCAGATTCCTCATTGTGAGTGATGTGTCGTTTAACCTAACAGTTTGAAGATAAATTTTAAACTTAATCGTTACTCTGGAGCAATAATTGATCATGAAAGGGCAGTGATCAGAGGAATCGATAAAATGCCGAACGGTCCAGTTGGGGAGGAGAGCACAGCTGCTCAGCATGCCCTCCAGATTGCCTTCCAGACGATGCAGGAACGATGTCAACAATTGGAGAATCGTTTGGCTGCTGTTGAGGAGGAAAATGTGAGATTGAGAGTGGAGAAAGGAACAGATCTGGACCCTGACATTGCTAGTATTGACATCAGCAGTGAAGCAGTCACAATTCAACGTCTCCAGGTGATGAAAATCACCAAAATCTCCAGGCCATAATTTTTAAATCCATAATTTTATTTTTTCACTTTTGCAAACGAATTTTCATTGCAGGAAAAGGTCGAAGAACTGACGAAACAGAAGTCTCAGTTGTCTCATCATATTTTGATGGTCGCTGCGGAGAATCGCCAGCTGTGGAATAGACTCACACGTCTGACTCGAACGAATAAGACCCTAGGGAGTAAACTTATCAAGATATCTGACACGTTGAAGCAGCATCCTGCAGGTCAAGCATTGGAGACGTCCAGTTACAGTATAAAGGAAGTGCCACAGTGTGCCCCCAAGGGTGTGGATGCTGGGGAATCTCAGGATGCTGGGGGGGCTCAGGGCGATGCCAGCCTCGAGGAGATTTCACTTAGGCTTATTAATAGTATTATGATGGAGAAGGTGGAGTTGGAGCAGCAGTATTCAGAGGTAGGGACTGATACTCTCTGAATTCAATTCACTGAGAAAATTTTTTTTTTTCTATTGAGACATTTTCCATTGGAATTCGATCACATAATTTTTTTACATTTTTCCACTCCATTTTTTCCCTTCATTTAAAAAAAAAATCAAAAACAATCTGTTCAGATTAATTTATTTTTATAAACGAATATTAATTGTTGAAATGACATCGATGGATTTTAGATGGTGGCTTTGCAAAATGGTGCTGACATAAACATAAGAAACGTCGGTTTTGCGTATCCAGACGAGGGAAACAATGATTCTCTCCAGCAATTGAAGCAACACGAGTCTAAATTACTTGAAACTAAGGATGCACTGCTCTCACAGCAAATAAAACTGAAAAAAGTCCTTCAGAATTTGAAACGAATTAGAAAAGGTAGCTTACGAAGTTCAGAACTAATAATTTTTCTATAATTAATAATATAATTTTTTCTAATTTATATGATGATAAGAAAAGGAATTGAAGTATTTTTTCGTTTAAAAAACTTTTCAGCAAGCAAAAAAGTCTGTCAAACAGGCACGCAATTCGACTCTGACGACAGTCTGAGAGAGCATGGTGCCACCCAGACGAGCCTGCCACCCGCCGTAAGCCTAGAATCAGACAAAGTCGAAGGGTCTGTGAACAAAACCCCAGATGATGCCCAGATCTGTCCGATGTGCGGAGCATTCTTTGGAAAGTCAGTTCCCTTCGAGACGTTCCACGAACATGTGCTCTCACACTTTTCCACAGGATCTCCCTCGGGGTTTGAGTTGTTACCTTAGTGACAACGAAACCCGAAGCAAATAATTCGAGACATTCAACGATTGTGATAAAATGACAAAAGAGAACAGAAGAACTAAAATTTCCCATGATGAGACAAAGTTTAAACACTAGATCTCCATTAATTGACAAATGAGCATAAGTTTTTCAATTTATTGGAACAAACGCTTGCAAATATTTTGTATTGATCAGTGATAATTACGTATCCATATTCATCCTATAAATAATAATTTTAATGATCTATAGAATGTAATTAAAATGAAATAAAGAAGAAAATGTTATTTTTAAAATGAGGAAGAGATGTTTCCAGTGGTTCGAAGAGAAAGTTTATTAACGAAATATTATGTTTCCCCTTTGAGACATTCAAAGGTTGTGATAAAACAAAAAATTGAAATTTTCCGCATTTAAAGGATTTTAATCGTCCAGTCTTCAGTAATCGATAAATCGGCGTCATTTTTTCATTTTATTTCATTAGCAAATATTTTGTATTGATCAGTGATAATGAAGTACCCATTGTCATCCTATAAACAATAATTTTAACAATCTGTAGAACATAATTAAAATGAAATAAAGAACGAAATGTTATTTTAAAGAAGAAGAAGGGATGATTCTACTGTTTCAAAAACGAAGTTTATTAAAGAAATATTACAAGTTTTTTATTTATGCTAAGTGGTCAGGTTTGAGGTCGTTTGTCTCTGCAGGTTCCTGGGTGGTGGGTTGCATCAGATTTGAGTGGAACCAGGCAGGCCTCTTCTTCGGGAGTTCGACAATCCTCTGCCCTTTCCAGTAATCAGCTCCTTTCAATTCCTTCTCTCCTTCATACAGGACAACTACGTTTTGTTCTACTGGTTCTAAACCCAGGTTTGCCTCGATCGCGTCCTGAATTTCCTTTGTTTCAGCTTTTACTCTTCCATAACAGTGATCTGGAGTGATGATTTAGTAACGGATTATTTAGTAAAATTGCTGGCAGAGAGAAATTGGTAGAAAATTGATTACAAAAATTTTAAATTTCAAACAAAAGTCTCTTGAAACAAATGAAAATTCTACTTATTTCCATTACTGGAACCAGAGTTCTGAAATAGACCTTTTTATTGTGGAAATGTAAAATATTTATTCTGTTTATCGAATTGAAAAGTCTTTGAAAAAAGAATAATACACATTTGAGCCTTCTAAAACGATCATTCATATGTAAAATTCGGTAAAAGTGTCCGAAACTCCTGAGAGGATTGAGGATATATCCAAGAACTGAACTAAAAAAATTAGGTTTCCAAAAGTTTGAACAACATCGATTATTTTTTTCTAAACAACGAATGTTTAAAGAAAATAGTTCTCTGCAGAATGTAATTTGAATGACTCTGAATATTCATGATTTTCTTCAAATTGTTCTCACGCAATTTAACTGACAGAAAAAATTTCAAGAGAAAATTCATATAGAAAAATCGAAATCTATTGACTTCTTTTTGTCAAATATCTCACAGAATCAGCGCAAAAAAAACCGAATTTTAACGAGACTTCCCTGAAATTGTAATAGAACCCCAATAGAATTTCGAGAGAATTCCAGTAGAATTTTCCAGCGAATTGGCTAAGTTTTTCTATTGAATTTATTCACACGTGATGACACGTGAAATTTTCAAAATTTCTAGTGTCCCCTCTTCCTGGCTAACAAATCAACAAAATCCTCTCCAACTTACTGCAGAGAATCCCAGGCTCATGGGGATGTCCACAAGCAGGACAATAAAGAATATTCTTCGGCGTGTACATCTTATAGTGCAATTCAGGAATCCCGAACCTCCTGGTCATTCGTTTCTCCAAGCTCCTCCTGTGCTTCGGCACAGCCCACAGAATTCCATCACGCAAGACATCCCTCAACGAAGGTGACGATTTAACTCCGCAAAAGCTCTCTAGATTACATCTCTGATCACCCAACTGTACACTGCACAGAGCCCCTGGATTAACAAATCAAAAGACACAGCGAGTAAAAATAATGAACCACACACACAGTTAATGCTAATTTGAGGTTATCCATGCAGTTTAGCTTTTCCTAGACCTTTCGAGGAATTCTCGAAGATTATTTTCAATTACCTGGTGGAAATCTAGGCCCAAACAGTGATGCAATGAAGTGTTCACACCTTGTCAATGCTAAATTCAATCGATTTATTAAATTTGAAGCCATGATAGACGATTCACTCCAAAATATTCGAAGCACCGGAATGGACTCCAATGAAATTGACAATTTTTTTACCGACAGAGCATTCCAGGGTTCGCGATGTTTCTTCGCCGACATTCCGCCCCCCCGCCACAATGCAAAAAAAAAATATTTCGCAGGTTTTTTAAAGCTACAGGTTTTCCCTATTGTCAAAAATTATTGGGAGAGTTATTGTAATATAATTCAGTAGCGAAGTGATCAAACGGTTTAAGTCGATTTTGGCTATTAGCCAGTTTTGAATGAATATCTCGAAATCTAAGGGAGATAGCAAAATTTTTCTCATAACCTTTTTAGTAGCACTCAATTCGCTCTACAAAAAAGGTTATTATGAAAATTTCGCTGTCTCCCTTAAATTCGTAAATATTTCTGAAAAACTCAACCAAAGACTAAATTGACTTGAACCGTTTGACCACTTCGCTACTGAATTGTAGCCAAATTAAGTATTTAAATTAATGTATGAGTTGGAGAGCAAAAATTCATAATGTGTCCGAAAAAAAGGAAATTCATTTTACATCTCGATGCATGCCAGATAGTGCACATATTCCAATAGCATTTTCCCCCAGAATTCAAAAGTTGAAAGTCCCAGTCTGTTTTACCTTCTCAGCACTCATAATTCCCACGAATTCCCTCCGCAAGATGGCGTTCCACCCCCAACGAAGGCTTTCCACCCACCGGCACCGACTTTACCAACAAGTCCCCCTCCCCTTCGCCGTGAAACCAAAACCACGAGGTTCTCATCATCAATAACCACTCCAACCTCCACAGAAGCAATCAACGTGTCTCACTGCCCCAGTCCACCGTCTTGGCACAAGTGAAAGACAAGCCCCGTAATGAAAAACCCGGTAGAGGTGGTAAATACGTCCACGAAGTAGGGGGTACAACGATCGCACGTGGATGGTTTAAATATCCTCAAAATACCGCTGGGGTGGGGAGGGCGCGATATAACCATTAAGGAGAGGGACAATTTGATGGGTTAAAAGGGTAAAAGTGGGGCTCAAACCAAACTGTTCAACCATTCGTTGTGTTATAACGTTGAAAGTAACTACGAGTGGTACACCACAGTGTTCCTCACAACGGTTTTCGCTATGGCGGGTATAGGGTCGAGTAGGCTGTGTGCACGGGTTGAGAAATTGTGCCAACAATCGGTTAATTTTGTCCATTTTAAGAGGAGATTTACCACTGGCTGTGTTAAGTTTCATCAGGATAATCAGCCGTCTTTCAATCAGTTTTTGCAACAATGTAAAGTAAGTAGTATTAATAGAAATTAATTAATCCACTTGTCACTGGGATTCTTTCAAAATTTGTTTCGTCTGACTGATGAGAAAGCGCAGAAACAGCTGATTATTTCCGGGATTTATTTCGGAGTTTGGGGTCGACAGTTCGGGGAGAGAAGGCTTATCAGTCGTGATGGCTTTTATTGCTATTTTCGAGGGATTTGGGGGAGTGACATGTCGAGTTTCTGTCATCTTTTTTTGAGGGTTTAGGGGCTTTAAATGTCGACATAACCTAGGCGATCGGAAGTGCTCGTGCTCTCGATCACTCGTGACTTAATGTCATGCACTCCGGGTTTTTGCGGTGGGATTTTTTTTATTGTTGAGGCGATTTTTCGCGAATTTGAGGGGAGGATTTTTGAGGTTTTTTTCTCGCTGGGATTAGGAGAATTATGTAATAGTGGGTGAGGAGGGACTGAGTTTACGATCGATTGCGGCGGTCTGAGGAGTTTAAATCGCGCGGGTGTCGGGTTTGAATTTTTCTCGGGTTTTCTGGGGTTCGGGTGGCGATTTTTGGGGGTTTTGGGGGGAAACGGGAATGTGGATTGGATCGGGGAGCGAGTGAGGCGCGTGAAAGTGTCGGATTTTCAGGTGAAAACTGGGAAACGCTCCGGTGACACTCGCGGGCACTGGGGAGTTGGGGGAGAGAGTCAGCTGTTTCGGGCTGCGCACGGGACAGGCGGGAATAGCGAGTCATGTTAGTGATGATTTTTTGACCCAGTTATTTATGGGGGTTTCCAGGGGCGCAGGGGTACTGTGGTAATTTTCCGGGGATTTCTTTGGGAGGTTTTTCGAGGGGGTTTCGCTGGGCTTCGGGGGGAGAACGCGTTTTGTTGTTTTCTTGACTGCTGATGCGCCGGATCCGCGGGAAAATCGCGCGCATGCGCGAAATTTAAAGGGACTTGGGTTAACCCTCAAGTGGTCGCATAATGAGGGAATCCCCGCAGTTTTTTGGTTGTTTCTTTTCACGCAAAAACTTCATGAATGAAAAATCTATAAAAAATATATATTCCTACTTTCAAATATAGGGAACGTATCAACTACTTTTTTCGGTCGAGAGTTACTTCAATGAATTATTAAAATTTTCTGAAAAATCGACTCGCTGAACATCCTCATGTTTAACCTCAAAATTTCATAATTTTGTACTTTTTCAAATCGAGGTCTTAGATTATCTGACAAATATTTCGCTTCCATACCCTTATTTTCTATTCATTGAAAGTTCAAAATTACCCGTGAACGTGGAATAAATTTTTTTTGTTCAACTTTTTTCTCCTCGAAATTGGAAATACACGGGGCGGGGATTCTCTTATCGTGCGATCAATTACGTTCGGAATTCTCATAAGTTATTGAGTTTTTCTGTTCTCATGTGTTGTTGATGCAGGCAACAATAACTGTTTGAATCAAATGAGAAATTATTTGTTAATTAATTTTTTGAATCAAATAAAGAATGCTTTCACGAAATTTCCTTTTTTTACAGTTGAGTAGCGCGCAAATTATGTAGTACAAAAGTTTACAAAAAATTCACCGTGTTTGGAATTTATCAATCTATTACGGAGTAGTTTTTTAAGAACAACGTAAGAGCCGTTTTCTCAGCAGATTGAAAAATCGAGTTCGGGGGGCCCACAACTCCCGTTTGGCTTATGCCTCGCGTGTTGGATTTCATTATTTATTATCTTCTAAATTGTGTAATATAGATAAACATAAACATCATCTATGAAAAACATGGGGACAGTCTTGGTAAAAACGTGTTTTATAGGGATATACCCTAACGACAAGTTTCGGGGGGAATGATTGTTCACGGGGAAAGAAGAGTTTTTATTTTCAGGGACATATCACTGACTTTCATGAATTTATCTGAGTGAACGACAGTGCGTGAAAATTTTGAAATTCAGTGATTTGTCACCAATTTTCAGTGACATTATCACTAATGTCCAGTGAGAAAGTTATTAATTTTCCTAGTAAAGGAATATCGTATTCGTTTTCATTTGTATCACTTCACGTCACCATCTACAACTGTACGAATATCTTGAAAATTGAGAGGGTTTACGGAGAAATGTCAAGAGACACTTTTGCGGAAAATCTGTCTGCTAAAAAAGCTCATGATAAAGCCACTTAGCATCGGGATATTTGGGTAATTACGAAAACTCACATTTTACTCAACATTTCACTAATTAAATGGAGTATTGATTCAGAAATATTAGTCAGTTCCTCATCCCACAATTGAATAAGTAAACAGCAAATTTTGTTGACGATGAAAAACAGACGATTATCCAATTATCATTAACGTGTATTCATTGATTAGACACAATTTTAATTATCGGAGCATGTGAGACAAAAAAGTCAAGGGTAAAAAATTTTACAGTCACTCCATTTGCAGATCAACGCAACAATATTTGAGTGGTTTTATTCAATTATTGATTTCGAAATTTTATGCAAACAGTTGATAATATTAATCTCAAAATTCGCAAAATGTGAAATTCAATGAATTCTGTTTTTAACCCCATTATCATCAATCCGCGATAAATATTGAAATCAGTGAAATTTGTGGCTTTTTTTTGTGGTAAAAAATGATTTCGATATTTCAAAAAAACGAAAGTCACCGATTTTCTCCTTCCTTGGGGCGCGCCATGGGGCATGCGTTGGAAAGTGGAATGATATTTTGAAACTCCCCAGTTTGGAAGACGTTATGGACAGCCTTCTAAATGACCTAGGGGCCTTGCCAATTACATAATCGTCGGGATCAAAAATCAATCGAGTCCTGCAATCGTCGGTATCCATCCTCGGAATGTCCATTCATTAAATCATTTATGAATGAAAGCGTAATTCCTCATTTTTTCATTCTCTAATTTTCATTAATGAAACTCACCGAAATTGACGATGATAAATCCACTCCAACCGCTTCGCCTCGATCTAACGATTTTTAATGACGAATTTATCAATTTTTAATGAATGAAAAAATTAATTGAAAGTCAAAATAATTTGCTTCACGCTAATTACTAACGATTTTGAAGATTCACCGTAATATCATACTTTTAACTCCGTGAATGTCAGTATTTGTAAGTACAGTAAGTAGGCTAACTGGCAGATCCCAAACGCTCGCTCTTGACTTTCTCGTGCTCGCAGTGCCTTTACTCCACTCGTTCTCAAACTCATACACCTAGAACGCTTTTGCTCAGTGTGATAGTGGATTCGCCGTGTGTACAAAACCGTGTTTTTTTTTCTCATTTAGGATGATTTTTCTTCAGGCACAGAGCTAGAAGACTTAACTAAACTCTCACCGGTTTTCGTATTTAATGATGAATCTTTGGAATGAGAGAGAGAAATGATCTTTATGTCTCAAAATTATTGTACTGTTAGAGAATGAACGGAATTTAATGGATAGTTTATTAGTTTTGTAGGTGAAGAGCGTTACATTGCTCCAAGTTTAGCAGAAAATACGAGTGAAGTCGGAGAGTTTTAAGTGGAAATCAGAAGCGAATTTCACCAACTCACTTGAATTCTCTGCATTCAGTGTTGATGAACTGAATTTTAAATTGTTTCAAAATTTCTTACTTCACAGAATGATTTGACTGAAATTTACAGTTTTTATCAATTTTCTAAACAGATTGGAATTTTTCAATGACGGGATTCCTTGAAATTCCACAAAAATTGCACAAAGGAAATGACTCTTGCTGAAAATTTTCGCGATTGTTACCGTAAATTGCAGCCACAACTCTCCACCATCAAATTTTCCACTGGAGTTATTACAATATAATTGAATGATTAATTAGCAATGAAGTGATAACAAAAAGCGATGAAAACGGTGAAATTAAGAAGAATTAACAATAGTGAGATCTTCCCAAGTGAATAAAAAGCCCGAGTATTCCGGGGGTAACGCACTCACAATGTACAAAAGAATTTTCCAACCTTCTGTGTCTCCATCAGATTTTCATCCAGACGTGTGCATCGCCCACCCCTGAATCACTCTCTTTGGTCTGCAATAATAAATATAAATTTCAAATGTCTAACTTAACTTTCGCTATCCGTCCAGGTGAGCCTGACTATTGACGCACAGTCGATATCATCGTGATTCCATTCTCGTTCGTCAAAACCCGACGCGTTGCGTACCGCGGAATGCGTTGTGAATATATTTATGGATGAGGTTTTTCTCTTTATTGCGCGCAATTGACTTATTGCAATCGATTGACTAGTGAAGGGGAGGCGCCTCGTAGTCAGATGAGTTCAAAGAAAAAAACTTGGTTTTTCGGAATTTGCAGGATTTCAAATTTTGAGGATATCCAAGTACTTTGGCTATGTTTTCTCCAGTTAAATGCTTCCGTTAAATTTTCTCTTTATTTTGTAGTCAAACAATAGAGCTTTGATTTGAGCCCCATTTAACCCTCAGTTTCCGGAGTTTTTACAATGATTTTTTCATTTAAACCTTTCAGGTCTAAATTTGAATCTCGATATTGAACCGTTGGGAAATTTTGTACAAATCTAAAAAAAAATTAGAAAGTTTACTTCTGGAAAAAAATTGATGAAATAATGTAAAAAGTGCGATTTTTGAAAATTACGAGCATTTTCTACAAATAGTTTATAAACAATCAATTTTCCAGCACAAAAATAAGTTTGTGTTCGGAATCGTAATAAATTTATTCATATTCAGAATTTTACCAGAAATCGTTTTCATTCATAGAAAAAATTAGGATTCCGTAAGGGAACCTTAACGAATATTCAAAAAAATAATAATTAAAATAATTGAAACGAGTGTCCCAAAAAATAATAATTCTGTGTAAAATGAAATTTGAATAACGCTGAATATTCATGATTGTTTTAAAATTTTTTTCACACAATGAATTGACAAATTTCATTATTAAAAATGGTTGACTCTATAGTGTGGTCTATACCAAACTGTAAAAATAGCTTGAATACACTTAAGCAATATCAAAACAAACATCATGTCTGCAAAATCATTAATCAAACCATAAAAAAAT